CCTGGCACCCAACTCCTTCCACACGGAGTCCCAGCCTTGCATGCAAAGCCAGCAGGAGAGACTTAGATAGAGATCCCTTCTCTCGACCTGGGAAGGGAGAGGCGAGGGAAACCCCTTTCTGAAAACGGGGCCGAGACATTTGCAGGAGTCAAAACTGACTTGGAGGCACAAATCTCTGTTTTGCAAATCCGACCTCTCCTCTGTCTCTCCCCATGCAGAGGTTTTCCCATCGAAATGGGGGGGCCGGGGGTGTAAATGGCTGCCCCTTTTCCCCGAGGGGCAACGCGAAGGGTCTGAAGCTTTGCTTTCTCCCCTGCCCGGCCCGTGCATGCACAGGGGTGGCAGGGGAACATGGGACCAATGGCTCCCCCCCATTCCCACGACTCCAAGCTTTGCATGTCTCCATGCCCGCATCCAGCGCGGGAGAAAAGCCCCTCCCGCATCACTGAACCTCGAGTCACGTCTCAATCACGATCCGTGCAAGACTTCCTTGCAGCCTCTTGGCTCCCCTAGAAAGCCTCAGCGGGGAGGGGGGCAGAATCAGACACTCGAGAAGCGCGCAACCCTCTTGATTTGGGAAAGAGGCAGAGGGCGCATGCTCAGTTCTCTTGCAATGCGGGGGAGGGCGGGCGAAAGCTGCCCGGCTCTTCCAACGGCTACCGAGGGAGCCCCCTGGTGGATCTTGTGCGAAATGCCAGTGGACACTGAGAAAATCTATGTCAGGGGTAGGCCACCTTGGCTCTTTTATGACTCGTGGACTTCAACTCCCAGAATTCCTGAGCCAGCCATGCTGAGGGGAAAGGGAGGTTTCCAAGCTGAGCCAGGCTGGCTCAGGAATTCTGGGAGTTGAAGTCCACGAGTCATAAAAGAACCAAGTTTCCTATCATCTAGGCCAGGGGTAGGCAACCTTGGCTCTTTTATGACTGCTGGACTTCAACTCCCAGAATTCCTCAGCCAGCCATGCTGAGGGGAAAGGGAGAGGTTTCCAAGCTGAGCCATGCTGGCTCAGGAATTCTGGGAGTTGAAGTCCACGAGTCATAAAAGAGCCAAGGTTGCCTACCCCTGATTCTATGTGGAGGCTCAAAAAACTTTTTCCCCTAAAGCAGCTATAGGGATTCCCAGAGGCCTCAAAAACGAGCCAAATCCTGTCAGAAATGGAAGGGTGGTCAAAAGACCAGGAACAGGAGCCTCTCTATGAAACCCAGCTTGTGTCTTGTGGCTGATGGCAAACTCAGCCCTGAAGTGAGGGGAGATCAGGGTCCTCCTGACAGAGAGGAAAGTGACAGGTTGAGGAAAATTAAAGATTTGTATTGATTTTTCTTCAGTGAGTTCAATTATCACAGCTGCCTTCTCAAATTCATATCTCTGGGCAGCCAAGGACGGTTGGAAGCGCCAAGAAGCAGCGTGTAATAAATGAAAATAATCCTGGAAAAGATTCTGATGAAAAAGTCATCAAAAGTTCCAAAATGAGGGAAAAGATCAGACTTGTGGATCTTTTAAAAATTTTACCCCAAAGCAAAGGCGCCATGATAGAGAAATAAAGATTGGGAGGATAAAGTCTCATACGTTCCTGGAGAAAAAGTGGAATTACAAAATGAAGGAAGGCAAATAGTGAAAAATAAATCCATAAAAAAAAAAGACATGATGTTTTATTTAAGTGTTGAGAAGGAATATGATTCAGGCAATATGAGGAGGAACCTTGTCAGTCTTCCGTTATGAAAAAAAATGCTATGATTACAAAACTAAAACTTGCCCTTTCACCCTATTGATCCAGAACCATCAGTGAGCAATATTTGAATAAATATTTTCAAAGTAGCCTGATGCTCTGAAAGACTGAAGTATCGTTCCCCACAATTATAATGAAAAGTTTCGTGTATTTTTACATAGGTTTTTACAGATTTTTACATAGAACCAGTGCTTATATTTTATTGATTTTTTAAAAAAACACATAAATCACTTAATAATTGGTGAACAGTGTGTTGTCTGGATTACATTTGTAAAACAATCATTAACAATTGATTTCTATAATCCATAATCCACATAATGGTTTTAGTTGATTTCCTCTTTTCCCAAAATATCCTCTTTTGCAAACATTGAGTTAATACAATTCTTATTGTTTTGATATAAATTTATATTTTTCCCCAATATTCATAAAAATAATAATCACATCAATATAATATTTCTTTTCTATCCAATCATTCTGGTTGCCTTATCATAGATCCTGTTACAATCCTTATTTTAATTTGTTTCTCCCACCAAATTCTAGGTATTCTTACTGGTTAGGATTTTCTCAAAAATTAACTATATTTAAAATTTTAACTCTATTTTTCCATATGAACCAACTCATACTTTTACATTTCTTAAGGAATTTATTTCCTAAAATTCTTATTCTTTTTAACCATAGTTAAAATATGTTAATCTTTAAACATTCCATTTAATACATCTAGTCATCTAGCCCTTTAACTCTTATTCAAAACATTTTTATCCATTATAATTTTCTTAAATTCAATCACATTTAAGTATCTAAAACATTTCCTTTAAGTCATTTCAACTTTTTTATATTACTCATATCAAGAAAGAGAACAAAAAAGGGGAAAAAGCATACTATATTATTTAGGGAATTCATCCCTCTTAGAATGACATATATATTCCAAAACTCTTCTATTTCTTTAACCATATTCAAACAAATGTTTCTTTTTTAAGTATTCTCTCTGGTAAGTCCCATCATCTATTTTCTTGGTTTCCACTTTAGTCTTTTTCCTTTGCCTAGTATCTTTCTTAATCAATGTATTTTGCTGAATCAATAAGTTTTTCCGTATGTTCGTAAATGTTGCTGTAAATATAAAAAGTAAATCAGGTGAAGTGTCTTTGTACAGGGCTTCTGCCTTTCCATGTTTGTTGAAAATCTTTTTCTTTTTCTTTCTCTCCGCTTCTCTTATCATTTCCTTTCTCTCCGATTGTCCTGACATCTCTACGGTCCATTTTACCCAATCTGTTTTCTTGTCCTCAGATTTATTTTGTAGTCTTAAGGGATGTTGTTTTTTTCAATTCTTATGAATTTTGTTCCACTAGTATTAAATCATGTTTTCTTATTTTGTTAAATTCCTAAGTCTCTATTCTCAATTCTATATCCATTTATCTCTTTTATCTGCTCCTTCTCTCTTGTTGTCGTCTGGGAATTTTTTTGTTGCAAAGTTAAATTAGAAATAGATTGATTTATATTTTCAAAGTTATTTTGGATTTCTTTGTGGTTTAAAGTCACTGTTGTTTGAATTAGTTGCAGTATACTATATATATCTCCTCCTGTGAAGTATTTATGTTTTCTTGATTATGTTCTTTCTACATGTCTACATGTCACTTGATGAATTCTATCTGGGTTTCCAAGGCTCATTGGCAAAAACCAGGTCTTCAGGGTCTTGTGAAAGAGTGTAAAGATGGGGAGCTGTCATATTTCTGCAGGGATGATGTTCCACAGGGAGGGAGACACCACAGGGAAGGCCGTTCTTGTTTCCACTAGATATGCTTCCTGAGGAGAGGAATTCCTTGCCTACCCTTTCTGGAAGGTTGGGTAGATATAACCGACAGAATAGGGTCCTTCAAATAATCTGATCCGAAGTCATGTAGGGCTTTAAAGTGACAACCAGCATGTTAAATTGGACCCCAGAAGCAAACAAGCAGCCAATGAAGTTCCAGCAGGAATGGAAGCTTCCGGATACTTTTCAAGGGAACCCCATGTAAAGGGCAACAAATTAGTTTTCCATCGGTCATTTTTTGCCACCTCTTGCTGAGATTATCAAACCCTCAGCTCCTCTAAAACAGGGATCCCCAGCCATGCCAGGACAAACACGTGTGTGAAACAGTCCGCTCTCCCTCCTTGCCGTTAGTCTGCAGAGCTGGAAATGTTGATGACCGCTGCTCTAAAGCAAGGCTTTTCAACCAGTGGTACGGGTACCGCCTGTGGTACATTGGCACCTGGCAGGTGGTACGCGACCATCCTAGAAAAGTGGTAGCGGGGGAGGGGAATGAGCTGAACCGGTGGCAGCACCGCACAAGCCTGAACGAGAGACGGCTGGAGCTGCAGGGCTGTCAGGGCTCAGCGGAAGCGCCAGGATCAGTGCCGCTTTCCAGCTGATAGGCGCTTCTTCAGGACTGTCAGCTGGAGCTCGGTGCTGATCCTGGTTCTTCTGCTGAGCCCTGAAGAAGCACCAATCAGTTGGAAAGCAGCAATGATCCTGGCACTTCTGCTGAGCCCAGAAGAAGCACCGATCAGCTGGAATGTTGCAGCATCTCCAGGGTCTTGTGTTTTACATTCAGATGCTTGGAAACTGGTTCATATTTATGACGGTCACAGTGTCCCAGGGACATTTGAAGTGACCAAAACCTGCTGCAACCACCCAGCAGACGGGGGGAATAAAAACCAAACACCCCCCACTGCCAATCCTCAACAGAAATGCTCACAATAATGAAAACCTCGGACAGGAGGAAGAGCTCTGCCGGGTGGGCAGGCAGGTGTCTTCCTCGACTGTGGCTTGGGGGGGCACTTTTTTCAGTGCCATTGTAGCTTCGAACAGTCACTAAGCGAACTGTTGTAAGTCGAGGACTCCTTGTACTTCATCACTTTTTTCCTTTTTTTTTTTTTGGTCAAGTTTTTGACACCTTGCTAGGCGACTGGTGGTACTCGGATGTTGCCATATCCTAAAAGTGGTACAATGGGTGAAAAGGTTGAAAAGCCCTGCTCTAAAGGGCTTCTATGAGAGATCCTGGGAGCTGCCTTTATCTTCTCTAAAGCTTTTGCACTGGAAGGAACAAGTTTCCTGCAGCTGAACTAAAGGCATAAATTACGGGTCCCCCCCCCCCCATTTAGATTCTTTTATGAAAAGTGAGATCACAACTCTTTCTAAAGCCCTTTCCACATTGCATATTTATATGGCTTCTCTCCTGTGTGGATTCTCAAGTCCTGTCTTTCCACACCATGCATTTATAAGATCTTTCTCCTTTCTGATTGCTTTGATGTCTTATAAGAGACTGATTATAACAGAAGGTCTTTCCACACTCCATGCATTGATATGGTTTCTCCCCTGTGTGGGTCCTTTTATGGCTGGCGAGAGCAGAAATCCACCTAAAGCTCTGTCCACATTCCACACATTTATATGGCTTCTCTCCTGTGTGGATCCTGTTATGGGAATTAAGATGACTGCTATGAGTAAAGCTCTTTCCGCACTCCATGCATTTATATGGTTTCTCACCTGTGTGGATCCTTTTATGGACGGTCAGACTTTGACTCCCACTAAAATTCTTCCCACACTCACTACACTGATATGGATTTTCTCCTGTGTGGATCCTTTTATGGGAGGTAAGACTAGAATTCCACCTAAAGCTCTCTCCACACTCCACACATTGATATGGTTTCTCTCCTGTGTGACTCCTCTTGTGACAATTAAGATGACTGCTAAAACTAAAGGTCTTTCCACACTCCATGCATTGATATGGCTTCTCTCCTGTGTGGATCCTCTTGTGAGAATTAAGACTACTGCTACAAGTAAAGGTCTTTCCACACACCATGCATTTATAAGGTCTTTCTCCTTTGTGATTCCTTTGATGGATTATTAGAGACTTATAATTACAGAAGGTCTTTTCACACTCCATGCATTGATACAGTTTCTCCCCTGTATGGATCCTTTTATGGGAAGTAAGATCACAATTCCACCTAAAGCCCTCTCCACAGTCCGCACATTGATATGGCTTCTCTCCTGTGTGGATCCTCTTGTGGGAATTAAGGTAACTGCTATGAATGAAGGTCTTTCCACATTCCATGCATTTATATGGC